TTAGGTTGGTAAAAGTCATTTGATGTGCAACATAAATGACGATTCCATACATATTAGCACTTGCATGTGTTGAGGAGTTAGGAAGGGCTCGGGTTGATTTGCATGAGTGAGTCTCATCTCATTTTATGGCATGACATGATAAATTCCAACATTGAATGCATATTCTTACTTGGAATGTAGATGTGAATATGAAATATTGTATGTGAGCATTGCATGTGCACTTAGGTGGGGAGTAGTCTCTGTAGGAATTACTTTACTGGGCGTGGCTCACCCTATACGGGAAAATATTTTAAATTCTGGATACACACCGGTGGACGGCTCTCACTTGGATCCTCATGTTTGAAGAAGGCCGAATTGTGGTTTTATTTTGTGTTAATGTAAAACATTTGTGGAAATAATGTTTTGGGTATGTAATCTTTTGCAAATAATTGTAATAGAACTTATATAGACTATTGTTAAACTAACATTGCATGTTTTGATATAAATATGGATAAGTGGACTCGATGTGGCCAAAGTTTACTTATAAATGGACCCGGTGTGGTTATTGTTGAATATTGGACCTCGAATGGGTCTTGTTATTATATGATTGCACAGGTTAAGTTTTGGGTAGAGCTTCCCGTACAACGGAGACTCTGTCCGAATTTTGTCAAAATTATGGTTCCCAGTAAATGGGACACAATGACGTGATATCGAATTACTCGGTATCCACGAGTATTCTACGGGTTGATGAGTAATCAAGGGACCCCTGAATTTTGGGGTGTCACAATATAAAACCTCAATCAATTAATTAAATCATGCATTATTCATAACATATATCGTAGATGCATTTTTTGTGAAATTATTATGTATTAAATATTATTTTATAATGGTACATGCACACATATATATTACATTGATATAATTGGATGTTTGGGCTGAATCTTTTCTAATCAGCATGAGTGACTTGACTAAAGAGACCCATGAAATAGTGAAAAGACTAATTAATCTTATTTGAGTATTTTTAGTCTTCTTTGACTGCAAAGAGTTGAGAAAATATTGGTGGAGTTGAGAAAATATTGGTAGAGTTAAGACTAATCAGCTGAATGGGAAATGACTAGTTGATACATCCTCCACCATGAATAAGACACTTTTAGAATACAAAGAGAACACCAGTGAAAAACACTCAGTTGAAAAAAAACCTATTAAAGGAAAATTCAAACTCTATTGCTTTCATATTAAAAAGAGTTTTCAATTCTAAAAGACTAATTCACCATTCATCAAATTTATCAAATTCTAATTCACAAATTTCCTACAATAAGAAACTTTTGATTTACAAAGTTTTGATAATTACTCAACAGTATCTGTGGGCAATCAAAAGGACATTTAATATATCATTATTATTGAAATGGTGCAATGAAATATATGTACCAGACTTTAAAGAACTGGGAACCACTATTGTACCATACTGAAAGTTATAACATTTAAAGATGAAATTAAAATATTTTGACTATTCATGAAAAATATTACTTTTAGGTCAAGTTACACTTTGCATAAACAAAAATTACAACTGATTGAGATGATTAATGATTAATCAAATCTTGTTGTCTATCATGAGTTACTTCAATCGATTTTAATTTGGGGTTTTTGGAAGCTAGTCTACGATTATGAATTTTTAGGAGAAGAAGTGCGGACGAAAACTTATTTCTCTTTCAAATTTTAATAAGAACCATATAAAATACATAATTCAAAATTCAAACAAAATCAAATCTCCTTAATTTTAGATATTTCATAATTAAACTATTCATATAAAATTCACATTTCAAAATTTAAAATATATTCAAATCTCCTTTATTTTAGGTTTTTAAAAATTTACACACACACACACATGTATATATATGTATATATAATGCACATTCCAACACTAGGACTCATATATATACTTCTTAGAATATTGACAATGTCACTGTTACTATCCTGGGACAATGAAGAAGCCCACTGTTGCTAGTGTCTATGTTACTGTCCTGAGACAGTGAAAATACCCCAATTTTACTATCCCACGATAGTAACAGTGCCTTTGTTACTGTCTTAGAATAGTGAAAATAGTCCACTGTTACTGTCTTTGGGGCAGTGACAATGTCACTGTTATTGTCCCAGATAGTAACAGTGCCTCTGTAACTATCATGGGATAGTGAAAAAATTTTACCGTTATTGTCTAGTGCAGTAACAGTTACTCAAACGTCTATCCCATAAGAAGAACGAATACAAAAAAATAAGATAAAATTTTCATAATATACGGTGTCAATGTGGTTGTCATTGTCACACACCCATAGTGACACTATGTGTGTCTTATATATATATATATATATATATATATATATAGCGAGAGAGAGAGAAAGCGTCCTAATTTGGAAAGAAAAATGAACTCACATTGTCATTATCGGTGAATTCAATAAATATTGTCAACATAAGCTGCTCAAAGAACATCACCATCATGAATCCTTCGGATTTATAACAACTATGAATGATTTTTTTTTAGGTAACAATTGACACAATCTCTTAATAATACATTGTGAAAAAAAAAGATAGAATAAAGAAAATAGAAGGAAGTGAGAGAAGAGACAAATAGTTGAATGAAAAAGACAAAATAAAGAGAGACAAAATTTTAAATAAGGTACGAGAGATATGGAAAGAAAGAGAAGAGATAAAGAGTGATATAGAATATAGAGGAGAGAGGAGAATTTAAATAAATGATATATTAGAGAAGAATGTTAGAGTTAGAGTTAGAGAGAGAAATTAAAGGGACGGAAGAGAGAGGAGAGAGGAGAGAGGAGAGAGAAGTAATGGAATGGAAAATAGAGGAGAAAGAAATTATAGAAACAAAGGTGAGTCTTGAAAAGATGTGATCCATTGAAGGTTAAAATAGGAAATAGCAAAAAAATAAATAAATGGACTATTGGACCTACTTACAAAAAAATACATAACATGTATCCTTAATAATCCAAAAAGATTACGTTTTGATCTATTGACAAAAGAATTCCTCATATTATACTTGAGTCCAATTTTCACTTTAATTTCTCCTAATTTGCCGTTGATAACTTGATTTTCAGCGGTGGTAAAATTTCGATATCGTACCAAATATATTTTTTTGGTACCTTAAAAATTTCCTTAACGTAATTATGCATTTCTTAGTGGGAAAAACCGCTAATGGGGGTGTAACTTCACCATCAACTCAAATTAAAGCATGTTACAGGGGTTAGAAAAAGATTGAATTGATAGGTAGGGTTTTACTTACTGGCAGCAGCAAATCATCAGCTGAATGGTTTGCATACTCCAATTTTTAAACAATTTAACCATTTTTCCTGATGGGTCCAAGAGATGCTAACTAGGCAAGCTTCTTGATTTTAGGGTTGATGTGTAAGTCTTCTAGTTAAAAGAGGAANTTTCAATTTTCACTTTAATTTCTCCTAATTTGCCGTTGATAACTTGATTCTCAGCGGTGGTAAAATTTCGATATCGTACCAAATATATTTTTTTGGTACCTTAAAAACTTCCTTAACGTAATTATGCATTTCTTAGTGGGAAAAACCGCTAATGGGGGTGTAACTTCACCATCAACTCAAATTAAAGCATGTTACAGGGGTTAGAAAAAGATTGAATTGATAGGTAGGGTTTTACTTACTGGCAGCAGCAAATCATCAGCTGAATGGTTTGCATACTCCAATTTTTAAACAATTTAACCATTTTTCCTGATGGGTCCAAGAGATGCTAACTAGGCAAGCTTCTTGATTTTAGGGTTGATGTGTAAGTCTTCTAGTTAAAAGAGGAAAATTTCTTATTACATCCTCTCTTATTTAAGTCTTTGTCAAGTTCTGTATTAATGTTCTTCTCAAATTTTGTATAATACATTGTCAGTTTGAGTTTAAAAATTAATTTTGTCTACGACTTTTATATATCTTTGTTGGTCAATACCCGTTTGGTAATATTTTTGAAAATAGCTTATTTTCTATTTTTTTATTTTTTGAGTAGTTTTAAGTACTTTTTTAAATAGTGTTTTGTATTTTTGTCTTTTTTTCCCCCTTGTCCAAGCTTACTTCCTTCTTCCAAGCTTAATCACATGAATACATAAACACATACATAAGTACATTATTCATATACTAAGCTTCATATAGACCATGCATATAGGCCATGTTTCATATATAGTGATCAAATCTTCTTGTTGCTTAAAAAATTTGCTTCAAAAAACTTTGCAGGCTTGATGGGAACTTTTAAGAAAGTAAAATGATCACTTTTGGCTGCAATTGTCGTATGTTGTGGCCTCAAATTGGTGAAGGCATTACCAGAGGCAGGTTGGAATTGGAGTTTTCTTCTTGTACTATTACTTGAAATAGTCGATTAAAAGAACTCAATACATAAATTAGTCANACTTCTTGTTGCTTAAAAAATTTGCTTCAAAAAACTTTGCAGGCTTGATGGGAAATTTTAAGAAAGTAAAATGATCACTTTTGGCTGCAATTGTCGTATGTTGTGGCCTCAAATTGGTGAAGGCATTACCAGAGGCAGGTTGGAATTGGAGTTTTCTTCTTGTACTATTACTTGAAATAGTCGATTAAAAGAACTCAATACATAAATTAGTCATAATATAATAGGACAGAACTAGGGCCAAAAGCTTTTATGGGATTTTTGTGTTTCATAAATCTTTAAATATTCAATGTGAATTGAATTCAACAGCAACATCCAATTATTAAAAAAAAATATTTAAACCATATTGCCCGTTTAATCACAGTTTTAATCACGATAAAACAAATGCACTTTGCAAGGGGTACCCAGGGGCCAGAATAGAAGCCATCAGACGCCTCATCCTTGTGTAAAGTCATGCCTCTATTAGATCAATGGAACTATTATGTGACAAATGCAATCTACAGATACAACAGTAACTTTAAGACAATTAATCTGAAATACAACAAATCTGCAATTCCTTAAGAATAGTAAGGTCATGACCGTAAAGCAGATGGCAGTACCCCCTAGAGTTGACCACTTTCTGATACAAGATCATCACCATTCAGCATTTCTTGAACAAAAATTTCAGTTGGTTCAAGACATGCTCTCAATGTTTCATGCCCCAGTTGTGCTCTTTCATTATCTCCAAACCCAAAGATTTGTCCCCGTTTAGTGACTACAACGGTGTGGTACAGGCCTGTGCTTACTTGAGAAATGTGGTGAGGCCTTAATCTATCAAGCACTCGAGGCCTCATCACTTTATCAGATGCTCCCTTGTCTGGAAACCCGAGGCTACCAAACCCCATCCAGCCAAAGCCATAAACAGAACCATCATCCACCAAAACAAAGGTTTTCCTCTTACTTGCACACACCTACAAGAGATCATAAGTTTTGTCATATGTACAAATGAGCAGTATTAAACAAACAGAAAAAAGATAGAAGCCAAGGGAACAGAAGCATGATGCAATTGGATGCCTATGATGAATAAAGATGATCTTTGCTCGATAGATTATTGATTTTGTGACTTGAGTCCCATTTTCTTAGATGAAAACAACATAGGCAACCCTCAATACTAACAGGTGATGCTCCACAGATAGCTCTGCCATGGTAAAAAGACAGAAAACAATTGCACAATGCCTACGCGTACAAATGGTTATTGCTCCCCCAAATTACATATAGTGTCAATGACACCAAAGATCTATTCTTTCTGAGAAAAATAGACACAAATTCAAAGACTGATGATGGGACTCTACCATTAAACAATTTATTACACTCTACCCTTCCCAGATAGGGGTTACCATTATCCTTTTTGTAGTGACGAATCTTGAATGTATTCCTAAGAAAATGAACTTGTCCCGGGGTCTCAACAAAGGGGCGTGGAAACACATAAAAACTCTAGAATTGAATGGAAATGGAAAAGATATGTAACTCCAGTTCCTTCGGAAATAATAACATCTTTGGCGCAAGAAGAAAGATATCCATCAATGGGGACTAAAAAGGGTGTCATTTTTTTTGAAGCAAATATCTGCAACAAAACCAAATCCCCTTTTCAAGCCTCTCATATATTTTGTACTATTGGGAACATGCACTTAATAATTATCATAAGGTTTGGGTAAGAATACCATGAGATAGGGAGCATACAAGACCTAATGTCTCTGGTATTCCAAAAATCCTGGCTTGGACAAAGCTGTTTTAATGATGATTATTGGATTTTGAATACATTTATCAAATAATGTTTCTTATCTTCTCCTACATATGGTCTATTTTGATTACAACTGATGCTTCATAACAAAAGGAAAGACATGATTAAAACCTGCACAGCCAACTTGTTCTTAAGGCTGCTCAAGAATGCTGGAGTAGTTTTATCAATCTCATCTCCATGACCCAATGCTCCACAGTAACCTTTGCCCCAAGTGTACACCTGCCATCACCAATTAAATTCATGACGATTACTCACAAGTGAACAATGTTAAATATGAATTCTAAGCCTTTTTATGTTTTCGATGGACACAAACGACAAAATTAGTTTTGAGTAGAGAGACTCACTGATCCACTAGAATCAAGTGCCACCACATGCTCATCACCAGCAGAGACGCATACCAAATGAATGCCCTTTGTCCTAAATGACTGAATTGCACGTGGCAGAAGCTCATTTCGCTGTTCTCCATGGCCAAGACAAAAATTCGTTCCCGACCCGAAAGAGTAAACTGTCCCATCCTCGGTCACTGCTAGGGCATAACTTGGACCANTCTTTGTCCTAAATGACTGAATTGCACGTGGCAGAAGCTCATTTCGCTGTTCTCCATGGCCAAGACAAAAATTCGTTCCTGACCCGAAAGAGTAAACTGTCCCATCCTCGGTCACTGCTAGGGCATAACTTGGACCAGCAGCAATCTGGACTACAGAACCAACACACTCGAGCTGTTCCACAATTTTGGGTGTTGGTATATCCAGAGTGTCACCATGGCCAAGCTGGCCATGTGTATTGGTCCCACATGTATAGACATGACCTTGTGTTGTGAGAAAAACACTGAAACTAAGCCCCACGGCAACCTGAAACAAGTTCCATCTAAAAACATTAAACACAGAACTATCCAAGGACAAATAGCACTACTTGAGGCAGATCTAAGCATATATATAAAGAAGGAGAAAAAAAAGGACAAGCAGATAAAATAAAAATGTATTTTGCATCAACAAACATAAAGTGCAAGTCACTCACTCCAAAGATCGGTGTCAACTTTAATTCCCTCCTTTTGCAGAGTTTGCACGACTCTGACTTGGTTTTAGTGGTATCAAGGAGTTACCGTAGAGTAAAAGCCAAACACCAAAATTCATATTACTTCTTACAAAAAATTACAGACTACCATTCACTAGAGACAGATTCAAATGAAGCTTACTTCATGATATTTCTAAGAGGCAAGATATATCATACACTATTGATGACCTATGTCTGATTAGCTTACAAGGAAGACAGTATAAGCTCATGTTGAAGCCCCAACCTAAACAGTACACCCCACGCCAGGGAAAAACAAGAAAGAGGGAACAAAAATTCACCCCTGTAGGTAATAAATGTATCATTTTCAAGTAAATGGATGGGAACCAGGAGTAACAGATGGCCAGCTAAAAGAAAGTGCTTCTCTTAATTTATGAGACTTCAAGGTCAAATGATGGTACAATGCATCCTGGACAACACAGATCATTTAATTGCCAGAAACTGTATAACATAGACCAATGGACTCTGTAAGTTCTAAGTTAAAATGACTGAAGTTTATAATTCACATTTATTATTTGGTCCAGTTTCAGTCAATTTTAATCGACTGGACATTTTATTGTCCACTACAGAAACCAGAGAATGGTTCGCACATAGAACTGACATTGGAGAATTTTCTTGTTTCCAGTGCCAACAACTCTTTGGATTGGGACAAAATGAAGGGACTTTAAATGGGTGTGGTAACTAGAGATGACACTAGGAATTTTTTTTTTTTCGCTGAATTATATACAGCTTGGTCCTTCAGTTTCTGAAATTTCATTAACAAATAAGATCAAATTCTCCTTTTAGATTAGAGCGTGCATATTTGGGTTCCAACACATGCTTTCCTTTTAGCATGTGAAAATGTATAAATAATTGCAAAACAAAAAAAAATTAATAAAAAATTCTACCCAACACATGCAGTAATTATTATTATTTATATCAGAAAGAATCAGTGTTATTTGGAGAATTGTCTCTTATATAAATCTCTCAATTCTCCGAAAGATTATTATAATAGTTCCCTCATTTGGTCAACCTTCAAGTGTTAATTTAAGAAGAATAAGGGACAAGAAAGATTTTGTAACAGTCCACCATTTTTGGCATTTCACAGGAGTGGGGTGCTATGTGAATGTGCAGGGCACACTCCATCACAGTCCTTACTATAGCAAAGTCTATTTGAGCATCAATGCAAATCCTCTTCACTGATTACATGATATAGACAGCCACCACACCATGCACTTTACCTGCTTGCAAGGAACTCCCTTCAATGATTCGACAAGCCTAGGCCTGAATATGGAACGACTGGTATCTCCGTGCCCACAGCAGAAGGATGAATTATCTCCACATGTGAAAACCTGCATGAATAATTGGAAATTACATTTCAAACTTTTGCTCCTGATAAAATGACAAAAACAAAAACAAAAACAAAAAAAAAAAAAGCAAGCATAATTTCAATACTTGAATCTCCAATAAAATATTAATCCACATAAACATGCAGATATGGTGGTTATGGAAAACAAAGATGAGGTTCCCCATTAAGGGATCCGACCCAAGGGATCTCCAAAATGCACACTTTTTAGAGTATCTACGCATTTGCACTTATCATTTTGTTCAAAGTGATCTATCATCAATGCAGCAACTACTGAAACAAAAAGTTTATGTTCTAACAATTAAAGCATCCAGCCTAAGAATTGCATGATACTGCAGACATCCTTCTATTCTAGTACATGAGATAAGCACATGTTAATGAGGAAAGAACTAAATTATGGATAGACTTCAAAAAGAAAAGGGCTAATTACTCTTCATTTGAACAACCAAAGAATTGCTCAAATGACCAGCAAATATGCAATGAACCCATGCAACCAAACAAATAAATACTGCTTTCAAAATTCGCACCGAGTTAGTTTTGTTTGCGATTGATTAAGCAATTTTGACTAAACTCAGGAACGATGTTGTTCATGGAAATTCTCCTTGGATCTAGGACTTAGGCCCAGATACCGTCAAAATTGATAATCAAGATCATTGATTATGACATCTGGAGCACATGAAATAGCTATAGACACTATACTTCAAAATATGTTCAAAATGTATGAGCAATCACAAACCTCTCCAGACTGCGTGACAAAAGCAGCATGATTATGGGAGGCCGAGACATGAATCACTTGTGCTGGAGATGGGAAATTGATTCGTGTAAATGCTACACATTGCGTTGTTTCAGGACCATGACCCAGAACACCACACAAGCTGGAACCACATGAGTAGACTGCAGAATCATTGATCAACAATGTGTGATATCTTCCACTCCAAATCTGCATCTGTTGATAACATTTAATAATTAATGACAACAAAACATCAAAGTCATCTAACTCTTAAATCAACAAAACTAATATAATAATATTGTGAGTAAAAAATTATGGTAGGAAAATTTTCAAGCAGTTCTCCTTTCTTAAAATGCAATCGTGGGACTATCTTTTCCATTGTTGCAATATCACTTGACGCCCAGAGCCCTTCCCTCCCTCTACATGCCGTGTGAGCACATCAACTACTGTGGTATAACGGCTTTGACATCACAATCCAACATTATGAGCTAAAGCACCATAGGAATATGAATATTACACCATAATAATGAGCATGTAATGCGTCACATTTATTAAGGTCATATTGCTGCAAGAACTTCAATTTTAAGCAAGTGTATGATCTATAACAAGGGAGAATAGTAAACCTGTCGATGTAATGTAAGTGACAAAAAAAAGAAAGTGAAAACCCAAGTTAACAAAACAGTGCACAATTCTTAATCATTTAACACTAAAGGGTAGTGTTCAAGAAATAGTACATTGCCTGCTGAGGTTTCAACAATATCAGAGGACTGCTCCACCGATTGCAAGAACCTCAAAACCCGCTTCCAGATCCCACCACACCGATTGAAAAGCTCTTTCTGAGAATTGGAATGCATTGGAGCATATATAGGATGAGACTCACACAGATGATATGCCGAGAAATCCACCAAAGACCTGAATTTTTTAGGAAACAAACCATGACTCCCTCTAAAAGCTCGCGACGTCAGCTCTAAACAAACCAGATCAAACGCGCTCAAACGACCGGAGGTTAGGATTTCGAAAATCAGATGCTGTGGCAAGTCCTCAATCGAAATTGGCTGAAATTGATCCGCCATTTGTCGAATATTTACGGCGAGTAGGGTCGATAGAGAGGGCTAATGATCACTATATCAAAATTTTAGGCGAAATCGGAGACAATTAAAGCAATCTATAAAGAAAACATCAGAATGTAGAAAATTAGACGAAATTGAGTGTAAATTAACAGGTAATCGATCCAACATGAGATGGGGCAAATTTTGAGCTAATAAACTGTACTAACGAAGCAAAAGCCAAGTTTCGATCAAAGTTGAGGATTCGACAATAAGAAAATTTTTAAAAATTGCCGAATCTAGTATCAAATAGGTAGAGTTAAAGACCGAGAGAGAGAGTTGGAAACCGAATGCGATTGAGAATGAAAGATAGATCAGAATTCGGAATGGGGTTCGATCAAGTAGGTAGNGCGAATCTAGTATCAAATAGGTAGAGTTAAAGACCGAGAGAGAGAGTTGGAAACCGAAAGCGATTGAGAATGAAAGATAGATCAGAATTCGGAATGGGGTTCGATCAAGTAGGTAGAGAGTAGAATTTTAACAGTCACAGTGGAATCATGACCAGAGAAAAGAGGGGAGAAAGATAGAGAGAGAGAGACCTGTGACAAGCTTTTTCTCCCTGCCACTTTTTGCCTATTTTGCCGCAAAAGAAATGAAAATTGAAGAATGAAACACGAGAATCAATCAAAGGAAGAAAGGGGAAGAAGAGAATAAAGAAACAACAAGAGTGCTTGACGACAAAGTTTCCTCCTTGGAGAGAGAGAGAGAGCGCGAGAGCAAAAGTCAGGATTTATAGCTTTCTATAGTGCAACATTTCCTGTGTCATATCTTTCGGGGAGAGAGAGAGAGAGAGAGAGAGAGAAGGAATCTTGTTTGATGTTCATGAGTTTGGCTACGGGGATTCCAGCTGCTCTCCTCGCTCATTCTTTTTATTGTCGCTCTTCTTTTTATTGTCGTGTAACGGTTACGCAACGTGTGAGCAATGTCACGCGGTTAACCGCTCAATAATAATAATAATAAATAAATAAATTTTTACTCCTTTAAATAATCACTCTCTTGCATAAAAAAATAATTGTTCCATATTTAAAAAATAAATAATTTATTTATTATTAAATAATTATATCATATAATAATATTAATATAATATACATGATATAACCGTTATCATCAATATTTACTCTTCATCTTCTTTCTAGTTGAGGTGGAATAATTCTATAACGCCACATCAACAGACAAATGAAATTTTTGGAATAGAGTCCACATAGGAGCATTGTTGAGAATAGGAAAGTTGATGGAAACAAACACGCAAATGAACTTTATTTTTTTAAACGGTTCACTCAAACTCAATTTAAGTTATCAATTTGAACTTTATTTGAATTCAACCTCTAACACTAATTCTTCAATCCAAATATTATATGCATTTGCAAGTTTTGAATTTGATGTACACAACTCGGATTGTAATTTGGGTCTACTAATTCAGTTGTGGAGTTGAATTTTAATTTAATTACGAAATTTTTTTGATAAAATTAGTCTGAAATATAAACAATTGACATCTCAGTCTTAACAGTATCTAAAATCTAAACGGGACCCATTTTTTCTTAAACCCAACTTGAATATCAAAAATCTGTGTCCAAAAAGATAAAATTTTTGAATTGGATTAAGATTAACTCAAACAAGTTCTTTTTGTGACTTAAATTATATCATCATGGGGGTTGAGCATATATTTTGAATTCTACAAATAGTGAGAGAACTTAATTAATTATTGTCAATCCTTATCACTTCAAAAAAATGGCAATTAATTAGTAAAGAGGATTTGAAAATGCACCAAAATTAATTTCCTAATTAATCCATGATGGTGGTGGATGGGGAAAGAATAATGTTAGATGGACTTAAAAATTAAACTTAAAAATTAATTTCAACCATTGAATAGGCAGTGAGTTTCAATAAATACTGGGATCATAGTGATATTGCGTTGTGAATTGGTAATTTGTTGTTATGGGTCCAACTCCAATCCTCACGGAAGGCTTTGGAACTGGTCATGCCTTAGTCGCTAATTAAACTAAATTAATTCTTTAATCACTTAGATAATGACATAGTCGTGCCACAGGAAAGTATGCCATGCCAAGTGGTCATGCTTTGCCTTCTTGGCTAATTAAATCAATTATATGTTAATGCAGGATTTCGTCAACAGGCAACAACTAATAGCATTTTTAGAATCACTCGAAGTGGTCAAACACAGATAAAGATCCTCCGGTGCAGAAGTTTGACAAGAAAAGTAGAATGAAAAGAGCTTTAACAACTCTAGTGGGTACCTCGATCTGAAAAGCGTTGACTTTCTTTGGATGGATGGGATCGCTTGCATGATCTAGACATATATCTTCATCACGTGTTGAGTTGGCCTAAATGAAGGCGTGTTTCGCTCGTATGAATATGTAATTGAGAAATGAGGGGAATAAAGGGAAACCATCCATGGTGTTGCAGATGTGGAGGCCATGGCTGCCTTTACTGCTATGAAGTTGGGGGTTGAGTTGAGGTTTGATAGAANACTCGTATGAATATGTAATTGAGAAGTGAGGGGAAGAAAGGGAAACCATCCATGGTGTTGCAGATGTGGAGGCCATGGCTGCCTTTACTGCTATGAAGTTGGGGGTTGAGTTGAGGTTTGATAGAATTTGTTTGGAAGGTGATTCCAATGGTGAAGGGTGTTGTGGAGGCCATTGCAAGTTTGAACNGCTCGTATGAATATGTAATTGAGAAATGAGGGGAATAAAGGGAAACCATCCATGGTGTTGCAGATGTGGAGGCCATGGCTGCCTTTACTGCTATGAAGTTGGGGGTTGAGTTGAGGTTTGATAGAATTTGTTTGGAAGGTGATTCCAATGGTGAAGGGTGTTGTGGAGGCCATTGCAAGTTTGAACAATTTCAACAATATGCGGCGAATGGGGTGGAGTAAGTTTTCTATTTCTTGGATTAAACGTTCAGCGAATAATGTTATTGATATTTTGACTAATTATATCTTACAATGTAATGGATTGTTATCACGGAGGGAGGAATATCCAGATTTTTTGGCCTCCTACCTNGACGTTCAGCGAATAATGTTACTGATGTTTTGACTCATTATATCTTACAATGTAATGGATTGTTATCACGGAGGGAGGAATACCCAGATTTTTTGGCCTCCTACCTCCGAAATGATTTGTAAGTTTTGTTATTCAATAATTTGTTATCATGTCTGCTTACACCCAAAAAGCTTGTGAAAGTCCACGACTAACAAAACAATTAGGGGAGTAGGACTCTAAGAATTCCAAGAAATTGGGAGATGTGACATCATGAGTCACCAGTTGGAGACGATTCAGCACACTTCTACACATCTCAAGGGTAAAGGTCTTGATCACAATAATGGCCAAAAAAAATGATTTTGACAGTCAAAATTCATTCCTATAAATAACAAAAGTATTCACGATCAAACACAACAAAATCTACAAAGAGCCAAGTCAGCCTACCTTATATTATAACTCTCGAACAACTTTATTTTACTTGAAAAATTATTTAAGTTCTTTGAACCCTAAGACATAGAAAAGAATTCAGAGGTAATCTTACATCTCGCTAGAATCGCCTGAACAGTCACAATTTTTAGAATCTCACACTAGTTCAAGTAGATAAAGTCGTACGTATTTTGATCTTAAGTTCAATTGAACTTTGACATGCACACAATCCAAAAATATACCAAACAGTTTTATATCAAAAAAAAAAAAANGTACGTATTTTGATCTTAAGTTCAATTGAACTTTGACATGCACACAATCCAAAAATATACCAAACATTTTCATATCAAAAAAAAAAAAAGAGCATTGATAAATCCTGATGAAGTTATGCTTAAATATTTGAAATTTTATTGTAGATNGTTTTATATCAAAAAAAAAAAAAAAGAGCATTGATAAATCCTGATGAAGTTATGCTTAAATATTTGAAATTTTATTGTAGATTAAGCTTGTTATTCAGTTTTTGTTTTTGGAACAAGGCCTACTCCTTAGCATAGCTTTTGAAGGGAGGTAGAGAGTAGTGAGACTCAGTGTGATGAGCTATTGAAGACGAGGACAATATTATTCAGTTCATTTGAAGCTTTTATTACATGTATAGCTTGAAACTACATATGACCTANATATTGAAGACGAGGACAATAGTATTCAGTTCATTTGAAGCTTTTATTACATGTATAGCTTGAAACTACATATGACCTACTGTGCTCTTAATGGGCAAATTCTATCTTCATTCACTCTGCTAGAGCTAGTGATTCAGCTCTGGCTCATCCTCCTTGTTTTTGCCTTGCAAAAAGCCGTCTTCAATTTCTTTTGCTAATAAGCCTTCACCATCTTGCTTCTCATGTCCCGGGTCGGGTTCATAGAATAAATTTCCTTGCAGAGAACTGTCTTTAATTTCTTTTGCTAGTAAGCCTTCACCATCTTGCTTCTCATGGTCTGGGTCGGGTGAACTGCCCAGTAAGCCCTCACCATCTTGCTTCTCATGGTCCGGGTTGGATTCAGAGTCATGTTCCTTGATTTTAGAGGTCCCCTGAACATTTTTCGTGGTTTTATCATCAGTCTGATCTTTTTTTGTAGCCCCATGAGAGACAGGACTACTAGGCACATTGTGGGCCCCAGCATGGATCCCACCTGCAGTCCATGGACCACAGCCACCATTTATTGGTGGAGGGCAACCACATGCACCAGAGTGTGAGGGAGGTGGGTAACCACATCCACCACCGTAGTTTCCTTCAGCATTTCCACAACCTGGGTTGCCACCAACACAACCACCGGGTGCACCAATTGGGCAACCATAGCCAGGATATCCACCACAGTTTCCTGAGCCCCACTCGTTACCAGGCTGGCCACAACCCGGTTGGCAGCTTGGGTTGCAATTGCAACCGCCCCATGGTTGATTCTCACAGCCACCCTCTCCAGATCCTCCACCCCAACCACAGCCGTCACCATTACCACCTCCACTGCTACCGCTACCGCTTCCAGACCCGCCTCCTGAACCATAACCTCCCCCTGATCCGCCTCCACCACCTAAACCACAACCGCCTTCCCCTTCACCTCCACCGCCACCGCTTCCAAACCCGCCCCCTGAACCATAACCTCCCCCTGATCCGCTTCCACCACCTGAACCAAAGCCACTTCCTGAACCACCACCTGAACCAAAGCCGCTACCTGAACCAAAGCCACTACCTGAACCATAGCCACCACCACCACCACCGCCTCCACCTCCACCTCCACCTCCTGACAACGTTGTCACATGGCCTTTATGGTTTTGTGGATCATTTGTATTGTGGTTGTCCATGGAGTCCAGGAGGCCCCGACGAGCAGATGCAGAGCAGAGACTCAAAGATAACAAAACCAAGTATCCAATGGAGAGACTGCATTTTATTGAAGCCATTTTCTTTCTGCTGAGTGCTTTTCAATGGTTTGAAATCATGAAGGGCTTTGGCTTTATATAATGCTGAACTAAGTTGGTTTAAAGTAAAGGAGAGAGCGAGAGAGAGAGACGTAACTTTAGGCAGTAATTGTGCAAAGCACACTTGAGCCTGCATCAGTTTGTTCTAAGAATCCGGACTCATCAATCTTGTATGGATACAGGAACTAAGGACTCTACTGGCAACTGCAACTCCTTAATAGTTACTGCCAACTTTTCTTTCTCTGTTTTTTTTTTCAATCTCAACAAACAATAAAAATGTGTGCGTGAGAGAGAGAGAGAGAGAGAGAGAGAGAGTCATTCAATCTGCCTGGGTGTTGCTTCCATGAATTTCATTCAACACCTTAGCTACATTGACCGCTTTCTCGTCGGGAAGTTGCATGCAGAAGTAGGATCACAAAAAGCCAAGAATCCAAACCTATATAATATATCTTCTTGGCAGATCACTCAAGACCTAATTAGGAATTCTACCAATGGTAAAAATTCATCGGTTATAGTTGGATAGTCAATTAATTCTATTTTATATTGACGTTCATTATCAATTAAAAAATAAATATTCATTAGGTCCCCAAATTCAATTTCAAAATCAAGTTTAAGCAGACATAACTCCTAATCCTAGGAAAAATGGTTGCTATCGCTCCATGGTCCTATCGACGGAATGTCTTTTGTGATTAGTTTAAACAACACTTGACATCAACTATATCAAGTTATTATTGGATTGTCTTGCAACCTTCTTCGTGTTCATGCGATGATGGCTTATAGAGGACACACAGACGAGACTCCATGACTAGCACGAGGGTAGGCAATATACATTAGTTATGGGCTTCTTGTGCACGCTTTTCAACTACCTTCATTGCCTGAACCAGCCTCAACCTCAAGGTTATCATATCATGTATATTTTTACCATCAACAAGATCATACAATTCAATTTTACACATCTCACACTCACAATATCTGCCACTAAAAAGGCAACCTTAGTGCACCAAAACCCCTCACTCGTCCATACTCGAACTTTTTGGGTTCAACTCATAACAAAACAACCTTACCAACACACCAAAACTAGCCCTCTACAACATCCAACATTACTCATTTAAAATTTTCCATTATGCTTTCTTTTTTTCTTTCTATTTTGGTTCAACAATTAAGAATATCTGAACTAGCTTACGCATACTTTACATTTCTAGTCCGATTAAAGACAGTTCATCCACATCAGGACTAACGTATTCATGAGATATAAATACTTCATGGCCTAACCCTAAAATGTTACCCAGCTTCAAACTCAATATGTCTAAGTTTACAATTTGTCCATGTTACCGCTTGAGCTACCTTGGGTTAGCTTTATGCTTTTTGAGTGATAAATTTGTTTGGACTAACTTAGAATAAGATTCTATACTGACTGATACATTGAATAAGATTTGTTTGCACATGCAATCTGGCTAAGAATTGGCCAAAGTTCATCCTTGCTTAGATAGTGGCACCAGATACATCTGCTTCCATAAGACGTTTAGATAGTGGCACCAGTTCATCATTGTAACAAATTGAAACTGTGAACACCGAACCACCCAGACATCTATTTCGCTATCAACTCGTCAAACTTTTTATCTTCCAAGCCCATAAACCTCTTGTTATTACATAGACAGAGGAATTACAAGAAAAACAGATACCAAGTTTGGAAAACAGAAGAATTACAAGAAAAACAGATACCAAGTTCGGAAAACAGAAGAATTACAGGAAAAACGTAGAGTTATTATGACAAGTCTAACTTCAAATCTCCTCACCATTGTCTGCTCCTGATCTCAAAGCTTCGGCCATCATACGTTCCCTATTCTGAGTTTGCCTTTCGACAGCTACCATATAAAGGCCTGACAAGCAATGATCACCCAAATAAATTTATGAGAAATGGGAAAGGAAGAAGAATAAATGACTGGCGCAACTGTTTACATAGACTCAGGCAACCTTGATTAAAATTCAACTTGAGATACTGAAGAAAGTAGGGACAGCATACCAATGGCACTTCCGATTGCACAGAACCAGAGAACCCTCATGGACCACTTATCACTAATAACACCTCTGGTCATATCTCCCACTGGCAAGACGGTTAAGACGACTTACATTAGCATTTCTTAGTGATAAATGGGTAATAGGATATGTTGTATGCTAGATTTCAGCTATCAAACAATATAGTACAAACGTATCTAAGGATCAAAAGACTAATAGCCGATCGTCAGTGCAGATGATAGGGTGAGATGAGAGCAAAGAACACTTCAAATCCAAAATACAAAATAAGCAAATAATCAGGATTCTATTTTTGCAATGTAAATTAAGAATACCTTCTGTTCTGAATTTGCCAGCTTTTGAATTTAAACTTATACAAAACGAAGACAAATATGGACTGACAGATAAACCATATATACTTTGGCCTTAATATTAACAGAAAACTTGGTTTGGCCTTTCAGTAATTGAAACAGTCGGTCCACATTTGGTACAGAAAAATTATAGAAATCTTGACGACAAACAAACATCAATCAGGATTAGTGTTTATTGCAAGGAAAGCAAATTTTCTACAACCACTAAACTTAAGGAGGAGAGATGAATTTTGACGCAAGAGTCTATTAGCGAGTGTTATGAGTCCAAATTTTTCTCTCTATACTGATCTGGTGGGAATTTCGTAAACCTGACTACAACATAAAGAATGTGTAATTGTAATCATAATAAGAATTCCCTTATGCTTATGGTTTACATACCAAAAAACTTGTAGCAAAATCAAAGAGATTTAGGGAAATCATTGCAAGAGAGGAGGAAAGGCAATGGGTAAACTTCGCACACTTGACATGAATTCGCTCATTGTATAAAGCTGGTACATTTTCTAGAAACGGCCCAACATTGAGAGGCACACTAACACATTCAGATTCAGCCACAAATACAAAGAATTATAAAAAGAAAAAGGATTTGTGATCACTAGTGGAAGAGAGACATTTGCCCATATACAGCTAGAAACAGGGGCATACAGTCATGGAATGCAAGTTAGAAAATACGTAAAAACTTTGAAAAGAAAGCAACTAACGACAAATGCTATCAAAATCTAATGGTAAGCCCACTGCTTTAGGGATCCCTCTTCATCATAAATCTAAGAAAATCAAATTGGTATGGCTGGTTATTAGCATATAGACAAAAAATCAAAGAACTACATGCTATTCAAAAACAAATTCCAAACATAAAGAAAGCGCAGGGGAATGTGATTTACATTGATAAAATATTAAACTAGGTTCCTGGATTGAGTGGCAATCACCATCCCTCCGACCAATTATTGAATATCAACTCAAAAGTTGGATCTACAATGCAAAAGCGAATACTGGAGAAGTGCATTTCCCTGTGGATAAGGACATTAGGATACCAGATAGTTCACTTCCCTCCTATCAGTGCGACATAACTAATTTACCAGCACTTAATGGAACCGATTAAAGTCTGGTTTGTACCATCAGAAACAACAGCATCCGTTTCCCCTAATGCCCAGAATTAAAAGGAAAAATCATGCTACCCCTAAAAACTACTTAGTGATTAGCATATGGAATACCTGATATTCAGGTATATATCGTGTCATTCAAAATCAAATGCATTCCAGGAAACACGGAGACTTAATATCCCAACACCTCAATAGAAAACAGCCTAGTATGAGTGACTATCCCAAATTTAGCTTAGCAACTAAAAATTTTGCTTAGATATCACCACCAGCGCCACCCTGAACAATCCAACAATATATGCATAGCAATCATACAGACACATATATATGATCACATTCTTTGTGAATGTTAACAATTTCATCAAGCAAAAGAAAAAAAAAATGCAAGAAAAATGGAAGACAATATATCAAAACGATAGAAGGAGGCAAATAGATAGATAGATAGACGGAGAGAGAGGGGGAAATTTACCTCTGAAAAGCTGAGACTGGTCTTGCGGATTGGCAGTGAATGAACTTGCTGAGCCACCTAGGGTTGTTGAGCATGAGCTTTAGAACAAAATTACCAGGCAGAAGAGAGAGGGTCGAATTGTATACAGTTGAGGACCGGTTGGTCCGGTTTTTTTTTTTTTTTTTCCCTATTAGAAATTTAGTTCGGACCTCTTAAGATTGGTCTGGTTTCAAACATAAAATATGACACTTAGCTCCCTACAGAGTTTTAAAAAATTCTCAATTCACCCCAAACATGAGATAATTGTCATTCTTTTTTGCACCTTCTATCATCCCTCCATCCAAATTGATCCACTTAGAAGTTAGAACCTAGTAATAGTCATATTATATGGAGGAGTTACATGTGAGTTTCAATGGTTGAGATTTCTACAATCTTTACACTAACTACATAATTTAGGGATTGAATGCATTGTCATCGTTAGATTGATAGTGCATTCAATGTTGAGACAAATTGACAATTCAATGGTCACAATCATTAAGCCCCCAATTTATCTCCCAATAGCATTACTTCAATCTTTACCATAAAATTAAAAAGCTTTGTCAGACCAAAAATATCTGAAAAATGTGGATTTTAGAGATCCATAAATGGTGTAAATAAGATTCGAAGTGAATTTCTTTATACACTCTCAAAATATCAAATACTTGTAATTGTGTTGGGACATCAACTTCTTATACTAGGGCCCAAGCCCCAAAAAAAACTGGCATATTTGCATGTTTGGTCATTGGTGGCTACAAAATAATAACAAATTATACAAACCTTGATATATACAATTCTTCCGAACAAAAGCAGTTGTGTGACAACATTTTGATTGCACTGAGAAATTTGTTGCTGGATTAATAAAGAAAATTGATTGTGTTGGTCGAGTTGATGTGAAGGAATTTAATAAAATCAAATCAAAATATGTAAAACTTAGATCAATATTAACCATTGTGATTTTTTAAGTTGAGAATTCAACTTTTTAACTACAATATTAGATGGAGGAAAAAAAAATTTCAAAAGCGTGTTACCCATCGCGTCTATATCGTGTAGCCCGAACTAGGGGTGCAACTCGGGGCGGTTTAGGTGTCAACCCAGGCCCAATCCGAGATACAAAAACTCTAATCCTAGCCCAACTTGAACTCGACTTCCAATCTGACTATTCAACCCAAGTACTGTCCGAATTAATTTTTTAAAACTCCGGTTGAATTTAGGTTAGTCAATTCGGACTGAATTCGAGTTTGCATTCGGGCTCAAACACAAGCTTAGCTACAAATTCTCCATTTGTCTCCCTCACCAGTCACCAGTGAGATTTTCTGTGCCCGGAAAAGAAGAACAGCTAAAGGTGAAGAAGAAGAACAAATTATCCACAACAACCCATCATACGAGCTAATACAAATGTGCTTCCGTTTGTTGTTTTGGCCACCCATCAGACTAAACATGTTCGATTGATAGAACCCAATTTTNGTGGATTTTAGAGATCCATAAATGGTGTAAATAAGATTCGAAGTGAATTTCTTTATACACTCTGAAAATATCAAATACTTGCAATTGTGTTGGGACATCAACTTCTTATACTAGGGCCCAAGCCCCAAAAAAAACTGGCATATTTGCATGTTTGGTCATTGGTGGCTACAAAATAATAACAAATTATACAAACCTTGATATATACAATTCTTCCGAACAAAAGCAGTTGTGTGACAACATTTTGATTGCACTGAGAAATTTGTTGCTGGATTAATAAAGAAAATTGATTGTGTTGGTCGAGTTGATGTGAAGGAATTTAATAAAATCAAATCAAAATATGTAAAACTTAGATCAATATTAACCATTGTGATTTTTTAAGTTGAGAATTCAACTTTTTAACTACAATATTAGATGGAGGAAAAAAAAATTTCAAAAGCGTGTTACCCATCGCGTCTATATCGTGTAGCCCGAACTAGGGGTGCAACTCGGGGCGGTTTAGGTGTCAACCCAGGCCCAATCCGAGATACAAAAACTCTAATCCTAGCCCAACTTGAACTCGACTTCCAATCTGACTATTCAACCCAAGTACTGTCCGAATTAATTTTTTAAAACTCCGGTTGAATTTAGGTTAGTCAATTCGGACTGAATTCGAGTTTGCATTCGGGCTCAAACACAAGCTTAGCTACAAATTCTCCATTTGTCTCCCTCACCAGTCACCAGTGAGATTTTCTGTGCCCGGAAAAGAAGAACAGCTAAAGGTGAAGAAGAAGAACAAATTATCCACAACAACCCATCATACGAGCTAATACAAATGTGCTTCCGTTTGTTGTTTTGGCCACCCATCAGACTAAACATGTTCGATTGATAGAACCCAATTTTTTGAATTGTTTTAGCCACCCATCAAACTAAATTTTTTTTTAAGGGAGATGCTATTTGAACTTATAATATAGACTTAAAATGTAGATTTGATCACTGTCACTGAATAGGTAGTGGGTCCCTAATAAATGTCAAGACCTCCAATAAAATCAATGACAATGACCAATCAAGTCTATATTTTAAGTCTACGTTTTAAATCCACGTAACATTGCTCTTTTTCTAAATAGAACTAGTTCCTAAAATCATCTCATAAAACTCCTATACAAACTGAATTCTACCACCTATGTATAGATGTAGGGTGTGGTTTAAGCATGAGGAATGATCGGATTGGACAAACCCGACAATCCCATAACAATCCATTTGGCCCTGGGACTAATTATGGTGATAATGTCCCATCATCGTATTGATAAGTAGTGAGCTCCACATTTATTTCATCTAATACTTTATTTGAATGGAATATTGAATGATGATATAAATATTAAGAATACTCAAGATAAAGAGTGATATATCCTAATTATTCTTGAGAGTAAAAATATATTTTGTACAAATACTCCCCAACTAAAGTATTTACCGTGCCCAAAATGTGTATTCAAACATGGGGATATAAGTGGGATGAGATGGGCCTGACATAATTTTTTCAATCTCTCTTTTCTAATACCTAAATTAAAGACACCCGTAGGATCTGAACTCAAAAGCACAAGATTGAAAAAAGAAGACATTTTACAGCAAGTGAAAAAAAAAAAAAAAAGGAAGAAACCTTTGTCTGTAGACCGGCTACAGGCTATAGCCAGGGGGAGAGGGAGTAGAGAGATCATACCTTACCTGGAACGATGTGTAGAAGGTGGAGAGAGACGCAGATCAGCAGGTCCACTGGTCCAGCAGTCGCAAGACGATCAGATCCGAGTGAGGGATTGCGAGAGAGGCGAAGCGAGTGAGAGACTGAAAAGTGACAGACTGAGAGAGGCAGATAGGCAGAGAGCCTNCCATAACAATCCATTTGGCCCTGGGACTAATTATGGTGATAATGTCCCATCATCGTATTAATAAGTAGTGAGCTCCACATTTATTTCATCTAATACTTTATTTGAATGGAATATTGAATGATGATATAAATATTAAGAATACTCAAGATAAAGAGTGATATATCCTAATTATTCTTGAGAGTAAAAATATGTTTTGTACAAATACTCCCCAACTAAAGTATTTACCGTGCCCAAAATGTGTATTCAAACATGGGGATATAAGTGGGATGAGATGGGCCTGACATAATTTTTTCAATCTCTCTTTTCTAATACCTAAATTAAAGACACCCGTAGGATCTGAACTCAAAAGCACAAGATTGAAAAAAGAAGACATTTTACAGCAAGTGAAAAAAAAAAAAAAAAGGAAGAAACCTTTGTCTGTAGACCGGCTACAGGCTATAGCCAGGGGGAGAGGGAGTAGAGATCATACCTTACCTGGAACGATGTTGTAGAAGGTGGAGAGAGACGCAGATCANAGGACGAAACCTTTGTCTGTAGACCGGCTACAGGCTATAGCCAGGGGGAGAGGGAGTAGAGATCATACCTTACCTGGAACGATGTTGTAGAAGGTGGAGAGAGACGCAGATCAGCAGGTCCACTGGTCCAGCAGTCGCAAGACGATCAGATCCGAGTGAGGGATTGCGAGAGAGGCGAAGCGAGTGAGAGACTGAAAAGTGACAGACTGAGAGAGGCAGATAGGCAGAGAGCCGACAAGAGTGAGAGAGTTAGTCGATGAGAATGAGAGAGTCGATGAAGAGTGAGAGAAGCACAGGCGCCGACTGCGGGCGGAAGACAGCAAGGAACCCAGGGGTGTTTGGATCGGCTGATAGGGTAGCATAGGTTTGAATTTTTATTTTTTTTTAGGATAATTACACCTTTATCACTTAAATATTCAATTTCTTAAAATTTTAAATATTATACACATATTCCTAAAGATTATACCCGCGTAATANCATGAGATTTATCACTTAAATATTCAATTTCTTAAAATTTTAAATATTATACACATATTCCTAAAGATTATACCCGCTTAATATATAAACTCCTCCCGTCAAATATTCGTTAGTAAATTATATACAAACCCTCTAAAATTTATAGATTTATAATATTTACACCTCTCAAATTTAAAATATTATATTTAAACAAAAAATATTCTAATCAAATATAAAATATCAAATATTTTAAATTATAAAATTAAAATTCATGTTTTATTATATTATTTATTGAAATAAAATAAAAAATAAAAAACCATTTGTTTCTTATAAAATCCTAATTAATATCAAATTATATTATCTATTAGAATAAAATTGAAAAATTAAACAAGAGGTCTAAGTCATACATAATAGAACATGAATTTTACATCCAAAATTCATATTCTATTATGTCATTTATTGAAATAAAAACAAAAACAAAAATCTAATTTTTCTTAAAAAGTCGTAATTAATATACAATTATAATGTCTATTGATTATTGGAATAAAACTAAAAAATCAAATAAGGGGTCAAATTATAATAGACACTATATATTCTAAATTTAATTGGGATAACTTGATAGTTTAATTTAGTCGTTTAAACGACTAAATTAAATTCTAATATATAGTATAATTATATACTAATTGTGATTTTTATTTTTAATTTTATTTCAATAAATGTCATAACATAACATAATATTTTGTTGTAAATTTTAAAATATTTGATATTTTACCTTTAATTGGAGTATTTTTTTATTTAAGTATAACATTTTAACTTGATGGATCTAAGTATTACACGCTTATTAACTTCTGGGGGTCTGTATGTAATTTATTAACGGATATACTAACGAGAGTCTAAGTATTACGTGCGTATCAATCTTAGCAGGTCTGTGTATAATATTTTAAATGTCAAAAGAACTGAATAATTAAATGACAAACCTCATAAAATTTGAATGTAATTCCCTCTTTTTTTAACCAATTCCTGTCCAACACAATGCCCTCAATTATTTTTGTTGGCTCGTATATTGGTGTATTCTTTTTCCTATCTTTTGTTTAGCCAATTATATTTTAAAGGGTGGGGTTATTCAAGCACCACAAATTTTTGTTCTTATCCCATTTAATTTTTCATTATCAAACTATTAAATTTAATCCTTTTATATCCACTTCACTAATAACTAAACTCACCCTATGCTACATACACCCCATTAATAGTTAAGCTCACTCATTCTATGTGCAACTTTTTAATGAAAGAAGTTATCGTAAAAGAAGACAATTAATTTTAATGCATAAATATATTTACGAAACAAGAAAAAAACCAAGCAAAACTGAAATAAGAAAAAAAAAACAAAAAATGCAACAAGTTAAATAACAAGCATGCCAAAACAAGAAAAAAGAAAAGAACAAAACAAGAAAAAAAAATAAACAAATAAACAAATCAAAACGAGAAAAAAAAAATCAAGCAAAAATTGAAAGAACAAGTAAAACTATAAAA